TGCATATATATGTAAATAAATATGTATGTATATATATATATATATATATATATATATATCTTCATGCAAATCGAAAACTGATCTTCCTTATATATTTTATATCTATTGCAGGCATACAGTTCGCGTGCTTAACATTCTGCCATATTTGGTATGTGATGCCCTGTCTCAAAATGTGGAATATCATTTTAGACTGGGTAGGAAAGATTTGGTCAAATTGTATCCGGACGTTTGCTGATCCTCTATATGAATCAGCAGGACGTGTTCTCGGTAACATTCGTATTACGACGAGAACCGAATGACACTTTACAGTGTGTTTCCATCCATTTACACCAAGGTTGTTATGACGTAATTGACATGCCAGTTATCAACATTACCTTGGTATTTACTTTGGATTCATAAAAAAAATATAATGATCCTGAAAGAAGATGTATTTTAGGTGAATTTGATGAGTTGTTGATTGAAACCATACGTGATTAGTAGGAAAGCAAACTGTTCTTGTTCAAAATCAAAATACACTTTGAACATCTTAACAATTGTTTTAATAATACAGAAATAATAATATTTTAGCACTGTACAAGCCAATATATATTATTACTTATATGTTTTTGCAATTAAACTGTGGCATTAATTTTTAAAACATGCCTTTAAATTATATATTAATAAATTCGTAAAATATAAAATTATAGTAGTGAAAATTATTAAATTTGTTTCATATATCTAATACATTAAAGCTATAATTTACGTGAGAGCCAAACTGAAATTCGAACCGAATTTCCAGGGCGCTGAACGTGTCCCTATATTACTCTTACACGCTGACTAATCGGTTCGGTAGGACATAATGTAAAATGTGATTATTGTTGATTGCTATTATTTTCATGAACTAAGCTTAGCATAAGGCATTTGATATCTTATGTAACAATACAAATGTCTATTATATTGAGAATTTTTTTTATAAATTTATTTAATAATTACTTCTTCAGCAACGTTGATTAAACCATTAAAGCTTTTGCAGTTAACATTGCAACAAACAACAGTGACGAGACAGATACACGAAATCATTCATACCATAATTAGATCCTGGTGTAAAATGGACTTTGTTTATTTTGTTATGTATAGTATAGTATTTAAAAATATGTCAAACTGATTTATTTGCAAATTGGTAAAATTGGCAAACAAGATGGTAAAAAATCAATAAACTCCGGAGAAATGGTAATAAGTTTAAATGAGTAAACGTTTTCGGTTATCAACCGATATAATCTTGACAAAGGTAAAATGAGCAAATGAGATGTTAGATGATGATTATTATTATTATTATTATTATTATTATTATTATTATTATTATTATTATTATTATTATTATTACTATTATTATTATTATTATTATTATTATTATTATTATTATTATCATTATTATCATTATTATTATTATTTTATCATTATTAATATTATTGTGTTTTAATACTATTTCAGTTTTCATCCAAAACTGCTCCTTTTGATCTCTTGCCTTGTACATTAATTTATAATTTTGATTTGACTTATTTAAATAAACAGATGTGTAATAGGCCTACACTGTAAGATAATGAATAAAAACGATTATGAGTTACTATCCTGACTGTATTGTTATTTTGTGTAGTAAGCGGTAACTTATTATGGAAAGCATTTGGCAGGAAAAAAAAGAAGAAAAAGAGTTATTGTGTCCTCTCTCCCTACCCGTCTCTCTTTTATTAATCTTCATACTGAAATTGCTGTTGTCACACCGCCCAATGCACCCAACCATTTATTCTGCTCTTTTCTAACGGTTTGATCGTACTTAAAAGCACAAAATACAATTTTAATAAAACATGCATTACATTACATAATCAAACAATTTCATCTCGTTTTCTGGTTTATTTATAAAGAATAAAAATCACATTACTTTTACAAATATTTTTTTAATCTTTTTACTTTTTCATAAATATTAAAAGTTAATACCTGATTTGAACTCCAGTTGTCAATTCCACCATCTATAAAAATGTCGACATTGATGATGACAACACTATGGTGATGATGACAAACACAAGGACGACTACGATAGTGATAATAATGTGAAGATTATAAAAATAATGGTAATGATGATAATTACGATAATGATGGTTTGACTGTTTATACAGTGGCGCGCCGATCGAGCAGCTAAAAGACACTAAGCAACTGTGAAATCATTTAATCTTTTCATAGGCTATCTGTTTATGTATCGTCTTTGCCTCTTAATCGTAATTGATTTATGTTTATTTGGCAGGGACTTTAGAGCATACCCACATCTTGTGTTGGGCTTTCAGATCATAGAGTCCTCTTGGCACTGCTCCAGTCATTTCCTTATTTTGTGATTTTTGTGCCGAATAAGTAATACACAAATTAATAAAAGATTAAAATGGCTGAAACTTAAAAGCCTGGACCGATACAATAGTCCATATTTGGCATTTTCATGATCCCAGGGTACCAGAGAGTTAAGAATCAGCAGGAAAACGGTTTTTGAAGATTTTTACCCCCACTATTGGGGTAAAAATCATATGACATATGATGGTACCCAATTAGGCCCATAACTATCCGCCCTCAACCTAGAAAATTATGTGATAGACAGAAAATCTAATGACGTTTATAGGGTCGGGCTCTGTAGCACTCTCCACATTACGCTTATCAGTACCATTGCATTCTTAGTTGAAATCTTAATAGTTCCGAGTTTTTATTTATTTTTTTTTACATCATATAATATATATATATATATATATATATATATATGTAATATATCTTTATATATTGTTTTATTTTATATTTTCAACATCAATCTCATGCCAATGTGGAAAAGACTTTCGTTCTGTTTTACAGACAGAGCAAGCCTAGAGTTCAAATGCTGTTCTATTATTATTATTAATATTATTATTATTATTATTATTATTATTATTATTATTATTATTATTATTATTATTATTATTATTATTATTGGCTTTTCCCAGCAGTACAGGAAAAGCCATTGTTTTTGTTCTGATTTTTCTTTCTTTCTTTCTTGCATATATTAAAAAAAAATCAATGGGCATAATTTAAACCAGGCAATTATCATTGCAGCCATAGTTCAAGTCTCACTTATAACGTCGCAGTGAACATGGTTTTCGTTTGTTTTTTGTTTTTTTTTTACTTCTTTTTTTTTCCACTTCATTAAAATTATATTGGTTTCCTATTTTTTTTACTTTATACCTTTCAACGCCTTTTCTTTTTGTTGCAATTTCAACCTCAATTTTTTTTTATTAAAGCAATGAGGAAAAGCCCTATTTTCTGTTGTTCAAACAGACATAGTAAGTCTAGTAGTAATTATTATTATTATTATTATTATTATTATTTGTATTATTATTATTTGTATTATTAGTATTAGTATTGTCGCATTTAGAACAAAATACCTCTCCACTTTTGATGCCTGTTTAATTATATATTTTTGTTGCCGCCCAAACCTAGGATGCAAAGAGTTATATTGAAATGAAGGTCTCTATTCATGAGATAGTGATTACATAATATACGTATTACGGCGACGGTGAAACAGACATATTAAAAATTCTGTCCACTGATAATATTGATTCGTTTTATTCCGGAATTAATAAATCCGTGTAGGCCTTGCATTGTCTTATTTGGGCAGTGCTTTTCATCGCAATGGCACCGTCAGTTATAAGACCAGTTCTGTTTTTGACCGTATTCTACATCCAGGTATTTTACATAGAAGCTGAACCATTACATATCGGTGCGTTTAATATTCAACTTTTCGGAAAGGCTAAAATTAACAAGCCTGATGTAGTTGACATTCTAGTGCGGGTAGGTAGGCCATTTTTTAAAATTTAGGTCTATGCTATATACCATAGTTAACATGAACAGGTAGATGTGTATAAGAGCCAGACATTACCTTGGTATTTACTTTGGATTCATAAAAAAAATATAATGATCCTGAAAGAAGATGTATTTTAGGTGAATTTGATGAGTTGTTGATTGAAACCATACGTGATTAGTAGGAAAGCAAACTGTTCTTGTTCAAAATCAAAATACACTTTGAACATCTTAACAATTGTTTTAATAACCTCGTATCGTCTCCTGTATCCGCGTTTTAAGGATATGAGCGGCCATCAAAATGAATCATTTGCATATATCAAGCATATTCATTGACTAAAGGTCATTTGTGTTTCTTGCTATATTAATAAAGTCGTCACGTACTACGGAAAACGCATTTAATTACTTAGCAACAACACAAATACAAGGGTAAAGTTGAATAACATCGTGAATAATATCGATAATAATAATAATAATAATAATAATAATAATAATAATAATAATAATAATAATAATAATATTGTTTAAAGGTTTGCATGGCGAAGTAATGATATATTAAATGCTTGATGTACACCAAGTAGGTAGTTCTGAAAAGAACTTGTTTTTGTTCAGAATGTCACGACGTTTCAATTGACGGTTGCTTTAATTGTAATCAGGAGAATAATTGCAGAATAAATAGAATCTGTTAAATGCTTACGGTAAAAATAATATGAAACAGAGCATTCGATAGAGAGCATATTTCCGCCTCTTTTATTAGGGGCCTAGAAAAATATTCCCAATAAGTTTCGAAAAAAGTGAAGTTATAACATATAAAACACTTTACATATTTACTGTAATTGCACTAATTCAAATATTCATCATATAGCTATTGCTTCTGCCAACGGTAATACGGTAAACTAATTCTTTAAATGGCCCTCAAATCCACACCCTACTTCGGATCGAGACAACAATTGACACACTTATTAAAACATTTGTTGTCATTTTAATCCATTGACTCATTTTCTAGATATTTAGGCCTGGGACCTTTTGGCCCTCAAATGCACACCTGAATTTGGATCGTCACCAACACTGCATAATTTCTTCCTTGTACCTTGGCTTTCACGAAATTCATATCAGATGATTAGTTTTTGAAATATCTGGTCTGGGACGTTTTCCTTTAAATGGTCCTCATATCCACACACCCTACACCGAATGGTCACCAAAGTTTAATCCCCTCATCCTAGGATCATACCTAACAAACACTGTAACTGGCATTTACATCTGTGCAGCTGTTTTTTAGATTTTTTAAACACAACAAACACGTAGGGCCTTAAACATTTAAATGACCCTCAAGTTCACCCCCGTATTTGAATCTTGACCAACACTTGATAATTTTTTCTTATAATTTGGTGAAACTTTCCCGGAAGTTTCATTTATATCTGTTGATTAGATTTTGAGATATCTTGTCTAGTAAATATCCCTTGAAATGGTCCTCACATCCACACCATACTTCGGACCGTCACCAAAATATAAGCAATTCTTCACCTAGGTTATACCTAACACTCCCTGTTATGTTCAGTTATGTCTGGACAGTCCTTTTCGGGATATTTCTAACACAAAAAAAAACTAAAACAGCAAAGCGTTACACACGTACACACAAACACACGCACCACCACACCCAATCTTACACGAGCGAATATGTATATCTCCTGGCGGAGATAATATTAAGAATATTAGTACTGTAATAGAAATAGTAACATTAGTAGCAGTAACAGGCTATTTTAACGATTTTTCCCCAAGGTTCTGGACCGTTATGATTTAGTTCTTATCCAGGAAATCCGTGATAAATCTGGTACGGCGATTATGAAACTTCTGGAATCATTAAATAGGTAATGTAGTTTTTGATTAATGTATTTTTCATAAATCGCACCATTGGAGTTAAAGGTCGTATGTATTATTATCAAATTCAATCGTTCTCACGTCCTGAGCCAACATAAATTCTTCTCGAAATCGAAAACGTAATCGCATTGTACAACATTTACAAGTATGTGAACTCAGTCGGTAAAATGTAACAAGTAAACTTTGTTGTGATTTTGAAGACTTAGCATTGTTGGATATAGATAACACTCATGTAATACCGTACATATTAAGAACTAATATGTTTCCATTTGAAAAAAAAGAATAGAAAACATTGTCCTGTTTGAGTTCCAACAAGATCAAATCATATTATATAGTGTATCATTCCAAGTGCCAACTTTGAGCTATAACTCGAATTTTCTATTAAAATGTGATAAAGCTGGGTACACAATATTGCACCGACGGTCGTCCGCCGATTTCATAAAGAATACAACAAAACCAGGTGTGCACAGAACTGATCATAAAGATCAGCAGACAGCGTATCGTCGTTAGCTGACGATTTGGCGTAGTTCAAGCCTTGGATGACGGAGTGTGTACTAGGGCTACCATGCACTTTATTATCTGTATAAATGTTCTATCTCAAATATTAAAATAAAGTCTTTAATTTGCTTATTTAAAAGAATTACATCTATTAAATTTTAATCAGGCACGATGCTAAAAGTTGGCCTCACTAATATTAGCAGACGGTTATAAGTAAAAATAATGTTTGTTAATTTGAGAGAATTTTTTCTTGTTATAAATTCAAGTGATAGTAAATGACGTATTTTAAATAGGCCTATACATCATATATATCAACAGATAAATGTAATATTTTACGTTATCATTGTTTTTTTTACATTTTACCATGTTATCATATATTGATTTATCGAACTCAGTGTTTCGAAAGATGAATATCAAATGGTTATAAGTGGCAGAGTCGGGAGAACATCCTCGAAGGAACAATATGCATACTTCTATAAGTAAGTTTTACTTATTATGATTGTAATCATTGTGGTCCTCATCAACATCATCTTTATGATTGACCTCCATCCACATATCTATTTCAGTGGCGGATCCAGGACTTAATAAGAAAAATATACAATATTCAATCATTTTACCATGAAATTCATGTAACAGACTAAGCCTTCAGTTCAGATGGGTCGCGCCTGAGTGCTTAACGTTTAAGTTGGACTGTGGACTAAAAAGGTTGCATAGTTGGAGCTGAAACAAGAAGAATTATGATTATGGCACCTCTAGATGACTATGGGTAAATGGAGAAAAAATAGAATTATATTAAAATTTAATTTGAATACATATATTTTTTTCTCAATTTTTGTTATAATCAATTTAGGTTGGACAAGGGGATCCGCCAATGTATTTCCTCATTCTGATTTATATTTATTATTTTAATACTTTATGATAATTACAATGATTATTATTATTATTATTATTATTTATAAAATTAGATTTCTGTATTAGTTTTATCATTCCATATAGTTTTTAAATATTTAATTATGTAAAAAAAAAAAACTAGGAAAACAGCATTCTGTCACAAATGACGTCTCAGTGCTAAAAAGATAATAGTCAATCTTGACAATCATCGTTATTTTCAAGTTTAATTTTACAATATTTCACATTAATATTCACAAAGGTACATCTCACACTCGTTACTGGTGATTTTATTCTGGTGCTCATTATGTGTCATGTTATAATACGTTATGATGAAATAGCTGTAATGGACTATATATTATCTTTATGTTGGTTAGGTCTGATCGTTTAGAGGTAACGGATAAATACGAATATGACGATGGAGAAGAAGGCCTGGAAGAAACAACTGATATATTTGAACGCGAACCGTTCATAGTTCGCTTTAAATCACCATCGACACGTAAGGCAGCACTGTGATCAACGCATATTTACACGCATGTACCACATACATTTCATATCGATGAATAATGTTAACGAATATTCCACTAGATACGTCTGTATTAGCACGTGGGTGTGTATAAACAGCTATTATAAATACCTGGCTAAATTCTCGTGGAAGATAGAAAGGTCGACCACTCAGTGTTAAGAGTTTTACATCTGAAACACATACTGTTTCTCTGATAACCTAATATTTCTTCTTGTCCGTTTCACGAGTCCTATCCAATTTGCAATTTCAAAATTGTTAACTTCTAGTTCATTATCCAGGATTCCGTCGAGTAACCATGTTTCGGTAATACAAAGAAAGAAGCTTCTCTGTATTCATACATGAACTTTTCACAAGCACGATTTTATTTGATAACGAATTTACATTTCCCAAAATAATTATAGATGGTAATGGTAATTTAAATCTTCTTCTTCGCATACGTTTCCTAACGCCGCTGCTGACACCCCGTTCTTTGGCTTCATATCCCGCGGAAAACTGTTGAAGTTACCGGACCGTGTGTCCATTTGACTGTGTAACCTCATTAGTTCAACAACTGTCGACAATAAGTGACGATAAAATTTACACATATAAAAGCAAGTAGAACTCGAAAAGCACAACACTGTGTCCAAACAAACTGGTCAAACGC